GTAATGGATAGACAGCTACAGGCATTTTGTAGCAGTATTCTGAGGCTGCAAATGACAGAGACAGTGCGGGAGTTAGGTAGTGTAAAACGTTTGTCTGTATGATGGCCTGTCGTACAAAATCGCCGCAATAGTTTTCTGACCTTTTTAATTGTTGAAACTTGACAGCATATTTGTCATCCACAGCCAATATCATTTTTTTCGCATTTTGCAGTATTATATTTGAGCTTAGTAACAACGGATAAATCGAATTCTATCTGATTTTTTCATGAAAATATTCAATAACACGAAAACCAATTATTAAATATAACAAGCTATCACAATGCAAAAGTTGAGTGATAGCAAAATAGTTATTAACCTCTTGTGCCGTACGGCCAAAGGTAGCACAGCCATTCATTACCCTGATTGGAAAGTCTGCAAATTTAATAGCAACTATAGAGCGGCTGTATACGCCACTGATCTCAAATTTGTGAGGTCAGCGGTAGCTGCCTACAAAGTGCGGCCGTTCTTTGTGTCACAGTCATGGCACTGCAGTGATTAGGTTGGCTTCACGAACAGCCCGCGCAAATCAACAGGATGTTCGATCCAGTTTTATTTTAAGATCAGGAGCTCCCTCCCACACTTCCCTCCTACTGACAATCGCCCACTTCCGCTTCCTGCACAGGGCGTCCCGCAGCGCCGACCAGAACGACTTGTACGACGAATATATGACAGCCGAGTACTACGGCTCGACCTACGGCGACTGCGGCGACATCTACACCGGCTGCCCCCACTCCGTGCTGGACGCCGTGTCCAGGATGTTCTGAGGGAGAGCCGCTCCGACAATGCTCGCTGAATTGTTTGATCATGTGTTGATTCATTAGCTCTTAGGTTTTGTAAAGTTAACATAAACATGTGCGTGTGTGTATATATATATGCATGTATATATATAATAATTATTTGATTATTTATTGTACAGTCTATTTATTTGTATAGTTGTTCAAACAAATCTGGTAAAAGACATTTTCCGTATGAAAGGCATAATCATTCTGATCTCTGCTTGTGTAAAAATCATCAGATTGCTCATTTTCCATATATATGTGTATATATATGTATATATATATATATATATATATATATATATATATATATGGATATATATATATATATATATATATATATATATATATATATATATGGATATATATATATATATATATATATATATATATATATATATATATATATATATATATATATATATACATATATGGATATATATATATATATATATATATATATATATATATATATATATATATATATATATGGATATATATATATATGTATATATATATATATATATATATATATATATATATATATATATATATATATATGGATATATATATATATGGATATATATATATATATATATATATATATATATATATATATATATATATACATATATGGATATATATATATATATATATATATATATATATATATATATATATATATATATACATACATATATATATATATATATATATATATATATATATATATATATATATGTACATATATATATATATATATATATATATATATATATATATATATATATATATATATATATGTACATATATATATATATATATATATATATATATATATATATATATATATATATATATATATATATATACATATATACTGCCTTGTTCTGCTGTATCTCGGTGAATCTCTTTAATCATTCTTTAATTCTCTATCTATGTCTGTCTGTCTGTCTTTGTCTTTGTCTCTGTCTCTGTCTGTCTCTCTCTCTCTCTCTTTCTTTCTTTCAATCTCTCTCTAATTCTCTCTCTCTCTCTCTCTCTCTCTCTCTCTCTCTCTCTAATTCTCTCTCTCTCTCTCTCTCTCTCTCCCTCTCTCTCTCTCTCTCTAATTCTCTCTCTCTCTCTCTCTCTAACTATCTATCCCTCTCTCTACATATATATCCCTTTCTCTCTCTCTCTCGCTATTTCGTTCGATCTCTTTCTTTGTGATGTATATATCATTAAAGATTCCACTCATATTTTTTCATGATTAGTTAGCTTTCCATCGTTATGATAAACTGCACAGCGTATATAAGTATTTTATTAACCCATGACCACGGCGTCATCTGCCAATATTATGTCAAAGTTTAATGGACTAATGGTAACATTATGATGGAAAGGGTGATTGTTGTAATAGATTTGAAAATTATGATGACAATGCTGATAAAAGTAATGGTAATGTTGATAATGTGAGAACATCAAGATATTTTTCAGTTTTAAATCCCATAACAGTGTTACATAAATCGACGGTGTATTTGTACTGCTAATAATGAGAACAACATTAATAGCAACAAAAATAAAAACAACTATGATTACGATTAAATCAATTTCGTGTTAACGTAAACATTGAGTGTCTTATAATAAATAAATTAGTTTTAGTAATTAGTAATTAGTAAATGAGTATATAAATTAGTAAGTTGTATAACAACAGCAACAGAAATATTCCCGCCCCTGCTACTATTGTTGCAGCAGCAAAGTAATTAATAACTAAGAACTACTGTAACTAATTAAGCCGAGGCTCTATAACTTTTTGGCTTCTTTGGCTTCTTCAGCGACCGATCACAATTACCCCAACCACATTCCTTTTCAGATATGTGAATCCAAAGGGAAGGATAATTTCGGAATGCTTTAGTTCTAATGTATCTTATAAGCAAGAAGTTTATTAATAATTGCTGCAGTTATGAGAGATATTAGTTCATTTACTTCTCCAGTATCTATTCATTTACTTATATATTGTTATCATCTATGAATTTACTCCAGAGAACTATTACTTTTAGAAAGTGCCTCGTTGCCTCTCAGAAACAGCCTCATCACCCCCCCCCCCCAGGAGATGATTAGCCCAGTTTGAAAACCACTGGACTAGAACAAGAAATGCAGCTGTTACTACTATTATTTAAACAAGGATTATTTCAAGTGTTACTGATAGGAATTTCTGATAGTAGTAACAGCAATTTCATATATAATACATGGGATAAATTTCTGATAAATAACATAGTTACTCATAAATTTCCTTTTTCTTAAAGAATGTCTTTCTTACTCGTTTTCTGTAAAGATTTTATGGGTGACTCAGATAGAGGAATAGTATTGGCTGCCGTCAGCTCTTGGTACAACGTTTAATCAGCTTTTGCTATGTTACCTTAAAGAGAGACTGAAAGGTAGATATAGGTATATATACAGAAACGAAAACAGATTGATAGAGAGAAAATGAGATAGAGGGGCAAAAACACTGAAGGTAAAAAAGGTCAACGCCATATTTAAAAGGAGAACACGAGCATAAATTAAGCTTTATACAATAGAAGGCTTTGACTCACGAGTGATAATGGAATTCTCTATATATAAAAAAGAAAAAATCTTTGATTTAATGTATAAAAAATTGCATCTTCTTTGTTATTGACAATATCGTTTTCTGTGACAAATATGTGAGGGACCGTTCAAAGACTACTGCAGTTATTGACATCATTAGCATTACTGCCTCATCAGCAATATTATTGTTCATCCTCGGCGGTCTTCTCGTGGACGAAGCTAAGCTGCGTCAGTATATGGCGTAAGCACGACCTTCAGGGGACAACGACGAGAACGCCATCTACGGAACGAAGCCAAATAGAATGGCTGCCAATTACACCCCTGGCGTGGTCTTCGCCAGCGTCCCCATATCAAGACCACTAATCTGCTGATACTCTTCCCCTGCAAACTCGAAGCAGCCGAAGTCCACGCATAACTTCACTCGGCTCACGAAGTGGTATTTCGGCAGCGGAAGTTCATCACCTAGGATCAGCCTCGAGTGCTCGGATTGCCCCGCATGTGGGTACATTAGTAAAGAGTGACTTTATATCAGAACTACTCAGCTTTTTATTTCTGCATCCGGAACTGTAAAGACATCTGATGAGGTCCTCGGAATTCTTTGAGTGGGAATCGCTGATGACAGCCATAGCCCGGGAGTGGGCTTCAGCCAAACAGCCAAAGGATGGGGAGCACTACCAGTTCAGAATTGATCGGTCTCATCATCATTATCCATCATCATCATCCTTATGATAATAAAAATAATAATAATAATAATAGCAATAATAATAATAATAATAATAATTATTATTATTATTATTGTTATTATTATTGATATCGTTATTATCATTATTCTTATTACTATTATGTCTATCATTATCACTATTAGTACTATCATTAAAATAATTGTTATTTTCACTATTATTATCATCATTAGCATTGTTATCATTATTACTATTATTATTATTATCAATAGCATTGTTAGTAGTAGTAGTAGTAGTTGTAGTAATAGTATCATTATTATTATTGTTGTTGTTCTTGTAATAATCATTATTAACATTATTTGTAGCATCATCCTTATAATTATTGTTGTTATTTCTATTACAATAAATGTTATTATTATCATTACTACTAGTAGTATTATTAGTATTATTAGTATTGTTGTTATTCTTGTTACTATTATTATTAGTGTTATTATTATTATTATTATTATTGTCGTTATTCTTGTTACTATCATTATTATCATTTGTAGTATTATCATTATCATTATTGTTATTATTTTCCCTACAACTAAATATCATTATCGCTATCAATGTCGCTATTATAATTTTCATTATTACCATTATCAATATCATTATTGTTATTATTATTATGTATTATTATTGTTGTTGATATTATAGTCATACTTATCGTTCTCGATATTAATGGTATTATCTTTATTATTGTTATCATTATTATCAATATTATGACCATAGTCATTATTATCTAACATGTGCTTGTTTAATAAAATCCTGTGCCGTCTTCGTAAATTTGAGAATCACATCCAACAGCAATTTTTGGGACTACGATTTTGTTTTCCTCACCTCTCCATCGAAAGCAGATTCAATCCAGTTACAAATGAAACATAGCTACGGCATGGACCCCGGTGGCTGAGGATAGATTACGAGGTAAAAGTAGATGGTCGAAGCTCTTCCTTCAATAAGTTAGTTATACACATTAATTCATTATATTCTGAAAAGTGATGTTGACCATCCAACTTGGTCTTCAAAGTCTTCCCTTTTTATGCTTCGGTAGGAGAGAGCCCGTGCAAATACACTACAGGGACGTACATTCGCACAATGTAGGGAGGTCAACGCCCTGAAACCCCTTCCGAGAGGGGTTGCTTCCCTTCGCCTGGTCTTCATTGTCTCATTGTCACTGCCATACGTTCCTGCAGGACATTCTCCATGTAAATTTTCTGACCTTGCAAGGTTTTGGATAATTTCTCATAAAAAGGTCAAGGACACTAATGTTAATCACATTTTGTAACGTGTAAGTTTATAGACAATAAAAGCTCATAAAAGACTATGGAAAAGGCCACAGAAATACAACTAATTCAATATAATAATTCTCCTAGTCTTGTTCTGCAAATTCCAGGGGTTGAGAGCATTAGTAGGCAGAAGGCCTACTAAATGCGGCAAACATCAGCCTTAGAACTTGGAGGCAAAGACAAACCTGTTACTAATACCCTGTCGAAAACGGCCCCAGAGTAGCGTTCGTTGAAACAGCAAACAGTGTGCAGTGAGTTTCGTGATTTTAGGCGTAGAACAATCCCTCCAACTAAGGCAAAAGTAGGTTATCATTAAACTAATGTAATAGGCGCAGCTAGAGGGCAAAATTTGTGATCGTTTTTGCAAGATTCTGTATATTTTATATTCAAGTATATTAAACAAAGTTAATGACTAAAACGATGGCACATCAATTTACAAACGCTAAAGAGGGAGAAGGAACGAAATCGAACGATCGAGCGAGCGATAAAGAGAGAGAGGGATAAATAGATAGAGAGAGAGAAAGAGAGAGAGAGCTATGCACAAGCGGAGAGACAGAGAAAAGGAGAGACAGGATCAGAAATAGACAGAGAGCCAGGTAATAGAAAAATAGAGGTCATAGTCTCATGTACTATGATAAGATTTACGTGGTTTCAT